AAAGATTATATTTGTTAAATTTCTTCTGTTTTCTTTTACCACCTAAATTGTAAACTCTGCAGTAAATCATTCTCTACACCACAAGGGAAAAAATATGTCTAAACTTTATAGCTAACTATAAAGATCTTTCTGGCATATTTGTTAAGTTACATTTTTACATCTAATATCTTTAGGGAACCTTCAAGGAATGTTCCCTGATCATTTTTTTTACAGCTGTACAAGAAAGTAGCAGCCCAAGAAACAGAAACCTTTCGGGAACCTTCAGGGAATGTTCTAGGAATATCCTCTAAAGACGCGTTGTGTAGTGAAGCTGATCTTCATATGGGAGAGCACATTTTGGGATAAATATTATAAGACACCAGACAATGACGGTGGGATGAATTTAATGAGTGTAGCTTTGGGGCTAACATGTGCTGCCATGTGCTGTTTGGTGGCTTCTCCCCACAGCACTGGGTCAAAACCCTGGTGAGGCCTACAAGACAAAGAGAACAGTTTTAGTAACATGATTAAATAATTGGACTTATTAATAACTGAATGACCATGTGGTATTATTTTAAGAATAGTTTGTGATGACTCACCTCTCTTCTGTCTCCTCAGGTGTTCCAGTTAAAACAGTCCTCATGGCCTGGAACACCCTTTTAAAGGTTCCAGGAGAAACCAAGTGTAGATGAGGAGAGGGGGGGATAGTAATTTCCTCAGGTGATGAAATAGATGCATTGTTTGATGAGGATGTCAGCAGTTGTTTTTAGGAAATAAGTACATAGTTTTAATGTTTGTTATTATAGTTAAAAGTAAAGAGGTGTTATATTTTTGTGTATTTCTTGTGTTTGATTGTTTTAGGTGAACCTTTATGTTGGTAGGCGTGAGGGGCTGATTAGGGGCTGCCTATAAAATGCTGGCAGTTGCATGAGCATGAAAGAGAAGGCGGGAGCACCACAATATATGCCACCAGTTAACAGCCTTGCTTTGTTTGGTTTTTTTTTTGGTTTTCTGTTTGTGTCTAATTTTTGTAATGTGAGTGTCAGTGAATAAACACCCGGTTGGTCTGCACCTTATCTCGTCTCAAGTCTCCTGCTTTATCCAACTGCAAAACGGTCATCCTAACATGCTGTAAAATATTATGGTGGAACTACGCAACATGTAGCCCACTTAGTACAAAGTGAACATTTGGTGAATGTTCTGCCAACATTCGCTCAAGGTTTGGGGAACATTCGTTGCACCTCTTTAGTAAACATTTCTCCAACCGTCATTTTGGAAACTTTTACTGAAGTCAGCAGAAAGCCTGTTTTTGGGTTGCAATCTTGACATCTGCAAAACCCTTGCTGAGGGTTCCTCTTTGCTGTGGTGCTGTAAAATGTCTTGTACGTTACCAAGCTGACAGTGAACATTTGCTGAATGTTCTACAAACAATTGCTTAAAGTCCTTGGGAACTTTTACCAAATGTTCCTCAGTCCCATTTTGAGAAGTTTTGCGTTTGGCAAAAATGCAGACCGTACCTCACGTTTACCGTCCTGACGTTTGCAGAACATTCCCTATACGGTCTGGGAATGTTACCCAAACCTACGGCCTCAGAGTTATGGTCTCCTCACCCTCGCACCACCCTCGGTGCCAGTCATACGCTCACATACCATCTGACAACAGTTACAGGTTAGAATTATCAGACAGTCAGGTGTATGAGGATGTAGATATTTTAGGAAGTTACAGTAATATTAGAAAACCATTTAGAAACATTGATTACAGCTAAACTTTCCAGCGCATGGTTTCTGTTGCTGTTGACAACAGGGGCTGGACAATGGAGGGATCAGACCTATAGTCTTGGGGTTATGGTCTGAACAGTGATTTTTTTTTTAACCTGAAGCCTCAGCAAACGATCTGCAAACGTTAATTGCTAAAATTTGAATGTTTCCTAAAGATTTTATAAAATTACCCTCAGGGAATGTTCCCTGAAGGCTATTTTGATGGTTGTTTTATGAAACCCTTAAGGAACAATCGTGAAGGTCTGGGAAACATTCGCTGCACCTCCGTGCGAACTTTCCCTGACGATCATTTTTGGAAATTCTCTTGATGTCTACAAGCTTTTGGGAAACATTTTCCTGACCTACCATCTTGAAGTTCATAGAATATTTGTGAAATGTTACCCAAAGCGTTCATTAAAAGCTCCATGATCAGGCTAGTGGCTCTGGGGACATTTGTGGAACGTGGAACAGTGTGGGGTGATGGTTCTTTACATGCCCTGACAGAAAATGTAGCCTACTTATGTAGCCCAATAACCAACACTCAAAGGACAATTTGTATTGTTGGAATTTTCTGCATCTTTATACTACTTCTTACTTCCACTTTAAGCATTGTACTTCTTACGACACCACATTTCTCTCAAAGCACTGATTAACCTTAAAATATAAATGCAGATCATTTTTAGGTGCAGCAGTTAAGCTAATGCTAACATACTAACATGCTATGCACAATATTCATTAGGTAACATGGACACCTAATCACCGTGCTAGTTTAGCCTATTAGCATGCTAACATTTGCTAATTAGCAGTAAATGTACAGTCTGGAAATATAGCTAGAAAGCATTTAATCATAAAACAAAGCTGAAACAAAGTACATATTGACCTGATAATGGACAAAACTGTAATTTAGTTTAGTGAGATATTTAACTCTGGTCAATCAAATATGGTTCCATTTTCTATCAATAAAATTAAACCACCTAATAGTATATAATTTTACAAAGTCACTGCCAGAAGCCAACACCAGTTTATAACTATTTCTGTAAACTTACTTCTCCATGAGAATTCCAATTTTCTTTTCTTTGTGAATGGTAATTGCCACCAGAAGAGGTGATTTTGCTGTGGACGTTTTAATAACGTTTATCTCTACATTACCATTGTGTTTGCTAGAATGAGCTCCACCATGGTCAGCTACACTATATGTTAATATCTCATTAGAATGCCTATAACGACAGCTTTGACTTTAAAAACTACATTTTGCCATGATATTGCTTTACAAGTTTAATATATAGGAGTTATATTTGAAGTGAAGGACACTATACGGTAGTTTTTACAGTAGTTTTGCTACTTTTTCCTCTTCGTCCACTGGGAAAATGTAAACTTGACCTCAGAGTCTTCAGTTTTCAGACCTACTGGAACCACCTTCAACCCTCCCACCGTCTTTCACAGAAACAAGCTTATAAATACAATAAGAATATCATAGAAATGCAGTAGATGAAAAAAACATATTCAAAGGTCTTAAGGTCTCCAAAACTATCTACTGTTAAAAAAAAAAAACATTGCAAGTTCCTTGAAGATCAAAGTGCAGGGGACTTGCAAATACATAAGCCATAATGTGTAGACATCAATAATCAGTACCTCAAAAGTACATCTGAGAAGTATAATAAAGCTGTCATTGCGGATGTTAGGTGTGTAGCTGTACATGGCCTTGAAAATATAATTACTTTAAGTTATAAAATCATAAAGCTTTACAACACTGGCCCATAGAAAATGCTATGAAAAACTTATGGAGGTCAAAAATTACAATTAGGCACAACAGATGTGCCAGTCAGCAAGAGTATTGCAGTCATTTTTCTCTAGAGACTGAGTGACAGCCCCCAACTAACCAATTTGCCACAAACATTCAAGTAGTTATTAAAGAAAAATTATTTATTTCCTTATTTGCCTCTAAATGGCTTTTTTTTTTCCAAAAGTGCATGATGGCAGCAACCTCCTAAAATGGGCCCCTCGCTCCTGCCTGTGTCGGGGTGAAAAAGGAAATCATTAATATAGCATTAAAAGCTGGCTGTGAACTCATAACTGCCCTGGGCGCACATCAGCATACATGCAGCACGGTTCTCTGCAGCTACACCTTCCCCGAGGTTGAAATGTCATCCTTCACTGTCATTACATTTCTGCCCCCATTAACTATTGATTATCTCCACTTCAGCATTTCTAGCCCTGCCGTGGAAATGGCCCACATGGCTCGCTACCCATACTCCACGGATCAGGCGGAACAGAAGTGCCCACCTCCTGGTTTTTGCTCTGAAAATGGGTGAAGTCAGCTTCACGGAGGGGCACGGGTAAAGAGGGACAGAGCGGCAGGGACACAGAGAAACAAGGAGCGACTGCACTGTACCTCACCTGCCCATTAGCGGTATGCTTGAGCGGACAACTGGAGGTTAAGTTGTTCTTTTTCGGGACCCGTGAGAATTTTGCCACAGCATGTGTTGAATATTTACTGTGAGGTTAGTCCAGGTTTGCTTCTGTTTTTCCAGCAGAGTGCAAGTAGAAAAGTTTGTTTGGGCAAGAGCTTTGTGCCCTTTACCATCAATAAACAACATCCATAATATCATGGACTACTTTCTGCAGAGCTGTCTTTGAACACCTGCCAAAATCTCTATATGCTGCATACTGCTAATGTCTGCTGTTACTGCTCTCTGTTGTTTTCTATATTTCAATATCGCTGCTGTTTAATGTTTTACATGTGCAGGCTTGCAGAGGCACATTTCCACTTGGGAGAAAAACATCAGGGTAAAAGGATAAAAGTATGTTTGCTAGTCTCACACTATGCTGGATGTCTGGTCTTTGGTTTTTACACAAATCAGAGAAAAACACAAGTCTAACCTTATAGATGTGTGTTTGTTTATGAGATTTGCATCAATTAAATGTGAAAACTGAACAAACATCACACCATATCCCCTAATGCCTTATTCACTGCATGTATACAAAGTGGAACAAACACAACATTTAAAATATTTTGTTTATACAAAAAAAAAAAAAAGTAATGACTGTTTACACTTTGAGGCGTGATGCATTAAACAAATAGCTTCTGAGGTATTAACTGCAACTCCAGCTGAGTGGAAATGTGTAGCATGTTCAATTCGAGCTCCGAGCCGAGAATAAACAGGAGATAAATCCTCACAGCCAGTGTTGATATTTAGGAGTCAGGGAAATGAGCAAAAATATAAGTGACTTTTAACACCGACAAAATTAGAGGAAAACAACCAATCTGCATTCATAAAAAGTCCCATTTATTTCAGAGTCATTTCATCAACAAATATTACAAATCTGCATTGTTTGGGGGGGCTGGACCCGCATCAGAAACACATGAATAAAACATTTATTACAACAATTGATCAGCACCCATTTCAGATGCTGAAAGTTGAAGCATTCCACTTGTTTAGGCTGTAGAATAAACAAGAAACAAGCTTGTGTACAGAACCAGTAAATGAGTTAGTTAGGCCAGTCCGGCTCTACAGGATTACTGTGTAGAGTGAAATCCACTAGAATCCAATGTGGCTTTAAGATAATCCCATCAGAACTGCAACAGTGCAACGCTACTACAGAACACCCAAGCCTGTTAGCACTGATGAGAGCCTATAGTGGAAGAAAGGAGGAAATATGACAGAAGAGTGGAGCAATCCTCGTTAAAAATACTTATCACACTGATCTCTGTTGTACAAGACAAATATTTTAACAGCCTGCTGCCAACGAAGCACCACATCTTTCAATGCTAGTTTTCATTTTCTAACAAAGACTACTTACACTGATAGAAAAACTAAACTAATGTTTGCGTCATGGAAAAAAAAAACATTTCCTGGAATAATTCTTCTTCATATAAAGCTCTGGAACATGAATCCATCTCCATGGACACTAATAGAAGCCTGAGTTACACACATTAATTGTTATGCATGTCCATAAGATAATACTGAGTTAATATGCACCTCTGCTGCCTCGTTTAATTAATGAGGACATGTTTTAATACTACCATCCTTTCAGTCCGCATCTAATATCTTCCTGATTTATGTAAAACAATGTTCCGCTGGCAAAACTTACACACTGGTGTAAGCTATTTTTAAGCCCATATGCTTAATATTAAATAATTTGCCATCTTTTAATAATGTCTTATCAGCCAGCTACACCGACGAGACTTAAAAAGGAGGCATCAATAAGGAGCAAACTTCTGCCGGTCTGACTTTTTGACGCCGGAGGTTGGCATTTTTGCGGTGTAAGGGGATAAACCCTGTGTTAGGCTGGAAGCGGCTGCTGGGTGGACAGCCAGGACAGGGAGAGTTTTCATGCCAAGAAGGCTGGAAACGGGGACGGCGTAGTGTGGGTTTTGGATGGCTGGTAAGGTGGAGGGAGAGTGGACGTTAATGGTGGTGGGGGCTGGGGTGGTGGCCGCCAGGACGGCCATAGAGGTAGCAGCAGTGGAGGCAGTAGGAGCAGACTGAGAGAAGCTCATGTTGAGGTCAACTGGGGTCGCAGAGGAAGCGGCCTGCATGGTGTATTTAGCCATCTCTAAGCTGCAGGTCGTGACGTTTGGAATGATAGTTGAGATGGGTTAAGAGAAGACGGTGAAAAATGAAAACGGGGGGGAGGATGGGTGAGACAAAAGGAGAGGGGAGGTGAGAGAGAGGAGAAAACATAAGAATCAAAGTAGGAATGTGTTAAAAAGCAGAGACAATCAGGATTTTAACGCTGTCAAGAGAAAGGAGCAGTGAGTTGGAACAAATCCAGCCTCACCCTGAGCACAATAACTCTGCCCTCGTACAATAGCATGATGTTTGGCTGTCTTATGATCAGGCTGCGATGTGAAGCCCTGCTGGACGTGGCTGCCCTGCCTAATGTCTTACCTGGCGTTGATGAGGTACTGGGCCACACTGATGCTGGCTGGTGAGCCTGTGATCGTGACTTGGCGCATGGCTGAGCCATCAGTGGCGCTGGCAATTTTGATGTGAGCTCCAGAGACCTGGCGAATCTCATTGATCTTGCTGCCTTGTCTTCCAATTATGCAGCCAATAAACTAGGAGGGGGGGAGATTGGAAACATGCAAATCACAAAACAGCTCATGTTTCTACGCTTTTTAGGAATTAACTTTCAAAACAGAATCTGGAAGCCACGGTGATGGCAGCACCTCAGCATCCTGGTGGTCTTCTGCAGAAGAAAACCCCGTTTCTAGCTGCATGATTGTAACAACAAAGAACCTATCCATGATGCATTATGCCCATGAAATAAAAAATTAAACAACATAAAAACTGACCATTTTCTGAATATTATCACCAGAGCACTTAGTTGTATTGTAAGCACACTGTTTACAGTTTTGGGAAACAGGTTTATTCGCTTTCCTGCTGAAAGTTAGATGAGAACATCGATCCCACTCTTATATGTATGAGGCAAATATGATGGAGAGGGAACAGGAAAAAACAAGTTTTCTGCCTCTGAAGCTAACAAAATCCACCTACCAGCACCTGTACAGCTCAATAATTAAAATCTTCCTTGTTTGTTTCCTGCATTGCGTAAACTGAGTGGTTTTAGGAAGGGTTACAGTGACAGTGACTTCCTAAAGTCTCTGTTGGTTGCCTGGTAACAGCATGAAGCCAGGAAGACACTGCTCTTGCCCAAGAAATAGTCTGACACACAGTCAACCCCAAAATTAATTTTTACACTGTGTTTTTTGTGGGAGTAAACACACAAGCAAGGACATGAATGCTAAAAAGTGACAGATGTATGCCCCCTTCTGCCAGTCTCTGTGTTAAGCTTAGGCTGCTGGCTGTTGCTTTATGTTTATTGTAAAAAAAAAAAACATGAGAGGGATTATAATGTTACTCATCAAAGCAAGAAAGCAAATAAGTGTGTTTCTCAAAAGCTATTCCTCCTAAATTAAAGGCCACAGTTAGGTTGTACTACAGCATGTGTAATTCTCTAGAAACGTGTACAGATGAAAACGATGTTGTCTAAAACAGCAGAGCTAATACATTGCTAAAAAAGCCTTTTGTATTGGTGGCCCACTGATTTTTTTTTCTCTTAATGTTGTAATTTTCGTTAATACTGCCAACACTAGTGCTACCGTAACGTGTGCAGTGAAAAGAATAAATTGCTTTCTGCAGCTAAGAATCATTTGTATCCAAAAATTCCTCATTATAGCTGTCCTCCTGGAAAGTTTTAATGAAGTCAGTAGCATGAGGATTATCAGTGCAGGTTTTAGAGCTGGAAGAACACAAACAATGTAGCACTTACATCATTAGGTATTGCCAGCTCTTGTGAACTTGTGGGGGCAGATGCATCCAATCCTGCAAAGTAGGACAAGGAGCGCTAACAACAGCATGGCGCTAATGGCTTCCACTTTCATGGCATGACAAGTTGCCCTACTTTGTCTAGTTTATCACTGTTACACTGCTAATTTACAGAACATGAAAATGGCATATGGGAAATAAATAAAAAAATCTCTCTACGAAGACAAATATACAGTTTATACATATTCTCTATGCATACATTTCATATTGCTACCATCAGAAAAGCTGCCTTTTAACTGAGATGTTTCATAAGCATCACTGTCACGCCAATCCTGCCCGTGTCATTAAAATGCTGTTACGTCTTTTGTTCAGTTAGTTGTGGCAGAATATATGAGTATGTGGGGTGGTTGAGGTCAGGGATGGTCTGGCCAAGACGATGTTAGATTTGGAGGAGAAATGTTGCTGAGGTGGAGGGTTGGGTTTGAGAGATTAGGATTTGTTTCTTGGAGAGGGAATTTGGGCGAATGGAGCTGAAATTTGAAGGGATGTAAGAAATAGTGAGAAATGGTTAAATATTTACTAAAGTGTAAATATTTCTGTCATTTTTCACATTTCCCTCTCAGAGACAGCTGCTGCTTCTTCTCAGTATTTCATTCTGTCTGCTTCAGTGTGTCACATATTCTTCTTGGTTTATAAATATTTCAGTGACGAACTTTCGAGATTGTTGATAATCAAACGGTTTGGTGGCTTAACCTTAAAAACTCCACTGTCCCCTTCACTATTCTTTTGTTTTTCATCTTACTTTCTGTTACAAATAGATGCAATGTAAAGCATAGCAGGTGTCATTTTTTTTGTTATCTGCACATCTCTGTAAAGCCGCCCTCTACTAAGAAAACCTGTGAGAGTCTGTAAACTCTGAGAGAATGGAGACATCCTTGATCCTCGCTGAAGTGACAGGGGTGTTTTGATGGTGTGATTCGAAGAGGAGTGAAGACAGAGGGATAGATGGACTTCCCCGGGGAGCCGTGGGTACGTACCAGGGAAGGTAGGGTTGCTCTGCCCAAGGGAGGGGAGGGGGATATGCTGCATAGCCAACTGGTGAAGCTTGGTCAACTGCAGGGTAGGAAGGAAGTTAGAGCTAACCAATCAAACTGGATTATTTCAGAGGAGCTGACAACTACAATACAGAGCCAATCTCAAGTTCACAAACATCACAGATGGTGTCAGTGTGAAGAGATTCATTTCCCTTTGAAAGCATGCTGGCTTCTCATAGCAGTCGTCTGAAAATACAGTCAAATCTCTGGCTACACAGCTACAACTGATCAGAAACTCTTAAGATATTAATTCCCTTTTCAATCAATGCATGCTGCTACTGTGGGTTAGTGTTAGTGATGTAAAACGATCAGGGTTACTGACATTTCATCTTTGCAGAGTAGGGTGTATAGAGGGCGTATTGGTGGCTTGGAGGGAGTGGGCAGGAGTAAGTCATTAGGGTGGATGTCAGTCACTCAAACGAAAATACTTACATCTTGATGTGCAAAAGCATACTGTCCTGGAATTGCAAAGGCCTGAAAGGAATAAGAGATGAGATGTGGTTATATAACCGGGCGGCACAGACATGCTACAACATGCCACTTGAAATATGAATTTGTCACCGAGTATGAAGAGTAGACTCAGCACAGCGAAAATCCAATCCTTTCCTCTTTTCCATAGCTCTAATGTGTATAGATCTGGTGGAATTTCATCTAAATGTCATCTGCTGTTTTTTCCCCTCTTTGACCACTGGCTAGAAATCCAATAACATAAACAGATGTCTGATAGGTCAGAGCAGACTGTGCCAAATTCAGGACAGTGGCTAGCCAGCTCATGGAGAACACGGGCTTTAGTCACGACATCATTCAGGTCTCCTCACTGCAGGGGAATTATTAATGCAAATGCCAGTTATTCTCATCTCTGTCACATTGCAGTTTGGCTGAACACTTCTTAATGTGGCTATTACCTCATCTCTCTGGTGACAACATTACAATGTGAAGAGCTTATGTATAATTACACAGATGTGTCCCTCTAGTGGTGAAAATATGATCAGCTTAATGATCAGTGTGACGCTCACATCTCACAAAATGCGACGCTTGCTCAGCTGCCTTCTCCAAGCTGAGTTAAATAAGTCCCAGATGGTTACTTACTTGTGCAGAGTGCTGTGGTGCTAATACTGCATGGGCTCCAGCAGGTATGACCTTGGGACGGTAGGGAATAGTTGCTCCTTTTGGTGGAGACTAGAGAAACAGACATGCAAACCAAAAAGGGAGAAAAATTCATACACAGCTACAGCCAGAGAAAATAACTCTCACTGGCATTGATGCATTTTATATCTTTTTTTTTTTTCTTTTTTATAGCACTCACTGAATCTTTTTATGCCCCTTCATCGGCTCAGAAAGTGACATGAAACCTTGGACTAAAGAAACCCATGATACAACCGTGAGCAGAGCTGAAAATAGGGAGTTTTTTAGCACAAGAGAAAGAGTTTGTATGGTTACTAAAGCAAAATCCAAACTTATACCTCTGCTTGAGGCAGTTGGAATACATGGAGACCACATTCTACAGTTAACCAGAGGGCTGCAGGTAGCGATTTTTTTTTATCAATGCTGGCTATTCGTTTAGTTTTTTGGCTGAAAAGATGTCAGAAAAATGTTCGTCAGTGCTTCCCAAAGCCGAGCATGACGTCTTTAAATCAGAGGTGGGACTACGGATGTCCCGCATGCACCTCAGAATAAAGTCTGGCCGCTTCAGAAAACCAAAAGTGAAGTTAGAGGGATGTGCACATATTCATAAAACTGGAGTGATAGCCTAATGCAAGTCCTCAAAGTGCACATTTACATGGTAGTCATGGCCGCATAAGCAAATGATAAAAGTGATAAAATGACAAAACTTGACGTCTTGGTCGACAGCGATTAGTCATGCAGAACAAATAATGAGCCCAGTGTGAGTGATGGTCCCAGCCTGGCCACCCCTATAAAAACTGTGCGGCTCTGTCACTGCTGCAGATGTCTTGTTTTGTTCACAATCCCAAAATATTCAGTTTAGTGTCATAGAGAAATAAAGAAACCATAAAACATTTAAATTTTAGAAGCTGAAAGCATTTAGATTTAGTTTTTTTTAATTAGTCAAAACAATCACGTCAGCTAGTGAATAATAAAATAGCTGACAACTAATCAATTAATCGCTGCAGCTCTGGCTGACAGTGTGTGAAAAATGCTGTTGCTGTGTTAGTATATTATGAATGTTAACTTGACCAAGGACACCTAAACACTGACAATTCCAATGTGCAACAAGATCCGCATATGCATATGTTAAATAACATATTTCAAAGCTTATCAGATGTAAAAAGGTTGGGAACCACCCATATAAACCATCTGAATGACCAGTCACTGCAACCTAACTGCAGAGTTTTAGCCTTGAAAATATCCTGAATGTGCCACTGAATACCTTCCAAAACATCCTAAATGAATGTGACACATTTGACGCCTAAATAGAGCTGTTGAATGTGAAGATCATCTGCTGTCTGACAGTGCTTACCTCTAGCATCACAGAGCAGATGTGTCTTACACACTGAGTGATGGCCTGTGGAGTGCCGGAGATTGTGACAGCCCTCTCCGTGGAGTCCGGCAGCATGTCTCCTGCCACCTGAACCTGAGCGCCTGTGGTCTTAACATCACCAGACAAGAGAAGAAACAAAGCCTATTTATTGCTGAAAAGAGCGCACCATCATCCAAATTGAAATGCTGTTTCAAGCACCCACAAATTACCCTGAACACATTTTGACATGCAGGGAGCAGCTGCAAGCCAAATAGCAACGTGTGCTCCAATATTTGAAGAGGCACACACAAATATTGTCCATTCAGAATGTGTATTCAGTCTTTGCCGATCCTTGCAGGCATAATCAGTGGGATTTTCGTGAGCAGCTACCCAAAAAAAATATACACATTTTAAGGCGGAGAAAAACAAGAGGAGTTTGACTGGAATGTTTGATACTCAAGGTGTCAGAGCACCTGGGAGGAGGTTTCCTGTCCCTGTCTGGGTGCAGGGGAAAAAAAGCATTTCCATTTTAAAAATAAAAATAAAAAAGAAGCGTCCTACCTCTCTGATCTCTTTGATCTTCGAGCCTCCTTTGCCAATCAGTGAGCCACACTGACTCCCTGGGAAAACCAGGCGAAGCGTCACAGGTGGCTTGCTTGTCACGTTACTGTTTGTCATTGCTGCTGTAATATCCTGGGGGAAGATTCAAAAGTATGTTGGCTTTTTTTTTTGCAGTGTTGACTGTATTTGACAAGTGCTTTTTTTTTTTTTTTGGTGTTGTTATGTAAGACTAAAGAAAGTTGCATTCAGTGTCCTTCAGAACTTGAGACAAATTATTAAATTTTGTGCAGAATTTCTTCGCAGTAGAGTTTGTTGCACATCTGTTTTTAACTGTACCTCCTCAAACTTCTGCGCGATCATAGAGAACGCTCTGAAGATGCCCTCTGTGGGTCCTGTGATTGTAACTATCCTCTCAGGAGATGATCCTTCTGATATGTTGATCCTAGCACCACTCTGGAAACACGACATAACACAGTTATTCTGGTTGTAGCTCATCTGCCAGAACACACCAGATAATATGTGTTTTCTTTTTACATAAGCAAATGCTCACCTCCTCCCTCATTTTCTTCACTGTTTCACCTTTCTGAAATCACACAGGAAAAGAGCGGTCTTGATTAGTTTTACGAGTACATAACAAGACAACAACAAGACAGCAGTGAGAATTAATAAAAGCGAAAAGATTGTAAAATAAATCTACCCTACCTTCCCAATTATGCTGCCAACTTCCTGAGAATGGAAACATAACAGCCTTTGAGAACACAGCTTTTCACATTTAGAGCAGGATGTAATCATTTTAATTGCAATCACATGCTATTACCAGACCATTAGGCTGTTACTCCAAAAGTACACAGAATTATAGGAACTATTTAAACATCTGTCAATTACCTTTCCGTGCATCAACAGCCTCAGCGTAAGCGTAACGTTCAGACTCCCATCTGAAGCCATTTCTTCCTTGTCGGACATTTTCTGTGTTTCCCGAAATTTAAAGTAAACACTCTGCAAAAAGAAAGAGATTGTCTGTGTGTAACAAGCGCTGTAGTACTTCAGGTGGTTCTGGAAATTATGTGTAAAACTGCCGAGGCAATCAGCAAGTAAATACTGCCGCTTCGTTAATTTACAATGTGTCAGTGTGTTTGGCCTTCATCAGGTAGCTTTATATTGTGGTTGAAGCTGTATTGTATTCATTCATACTGTGCTTGATTTTGATTCATCAATTCAAAAGACTGACATTATTATCACTACTTATGCTGGATACTCTTCTTCTTCTTCTGCTTAATGCAGTCAAATTGCTGCAGCTGCAGGAAATGTGAAATGCATGATTTACTGTGATCAACAAGATCTTCCTGGGAAAGACCCACCAGACAAAGCAGATGTAAAAGCTTTTGTAAAGTGGGTGTAAGCTGCATCACCACTGTGGTAGAGATACATCTTCCAAATGTCATGGATCATTAGCTTAACTACAATGGTGAATAAGCAGAAAATTCTGCAAAGTTGGAACAGTCACGTTTTTGCAGCGAAAAGAGGCCAAATACTCTTTTTTTTTTTTTTTTTTCTTCAAATTTATCAGGGGGACAGACGCTCTCTGAAGAGTTATGGACCATTGTTGTTTGTCTTCTGATCGTGTAGTTGTGAGCTGGGGGAGATAAGCCTATCACTAGGTGCAATCTTCACATGGGACTGTGTCTTTAGTTCCGGCTAAATACAAGTTGTGTGACTCTCTCGGATAAGATAAGATACAAAGGAAGCCACTTGTGCTGTGGAGGCCCGAGGATCAAGTGATGTGTGTGTGACTTAATATCACACTGACGCCACACAATGTCGACTCTGTTGTGGCCGCGTATCCAATTCTTTGTATTTGCAGAACAAATAAAGAATGTCTCGATGCAGTGGAAGACAGGCAGATTATTGCACCGTTACAGACAGAGAGTGAAGGCTTTGAGTCTGTAAGGGACCAAGGTCACAGCTTTCATTAGATCATTGTGCTTCTGAGGAGTCATTTTTCCGTTCACGTCTAACCCATGGCTTGATAAAGATGGAAAATGTCTGACTAATAAACAATATAATCTAAAAGGATCTAATCTAATTCAACAAAAGACTTCTTGGATTTTGGAATTACTGAGTAAGTGGGGAAACTTCTTCTGAAACCTTAATGCAAATGTTGGATTTACTTGCGGAGACCTTGGTGACGTCAGCGTGGGAGGGAACACAGTGGCATGTTATTGGCAACTGTGCACGAGGTGTTTCCAGTTAATCCGGAGTTTAATTCAATCCTACTCAAGGGTTTTAATGGTATGCCCAAAGACATTTTAAAGCAATAGTTTGACATTTTGGAAAAGGCACTTTATTTGCTTTTTGGTGGCGAGTTTGATGAGGGGATCGATACCACACTCGTGTCTGTATGAAGCAGCAGCCAGAAGCTAGTTAGCTTAGCATTAAGACTTGACAAAGGGGGAAAACAGCTGCAGTTTTGTCGAATCAATACAAAATGTAAGTGTAAAGGTGACACATTATGGTTTTCCAGGCGGTGCCAGACGGTTTCTTAGTCCTTAACTCTGACAAGTTGCCAGGCAACCAGTGGGCACCACAGGAGGTGCTGCCCCCAGCCAAGGAGTTCATGACCTTTGAAGCTAGGCTAGCTGTTTCCCCTGTTTACAGTCCATGTGCGCAGCTGCGGGACGCTAGCAGGCAGTAGCTTCATACATAAGCTATTCGCTAGCAGATAGCTCTCTGCAATAAAGCACCATATTTCCCCAACTATCCTTTCAATGCATGATCTTTGACCCTCCCACAGGCCCCAACTTAGATACTCACACAAACCAATAACTACAGAACGCTCTGCCGCCATTCCACACCTAAAAAAAAGACCAAAAATAAGTGTGGGTTTGACTCAAGCATGCTACCAATGATAACACAGTTCAGTCAGTGTTTGAAATGTGGTGATATCAGTGCGATGACAAGTAAATAAAACAGGGTTTTCCAGCAGCTGAGACAAGTTTACAATATGTTATTGTTCGAGCACATTCCAATGTTGATAATACCAGACAGACTGAGCTAAAGGACTTAATCCCAGCAATATCATGAATAAGTGGAGGGTGTCGTTCTGCTAACAAGAGACACAGCTATTCTCCCCTCTGTGTATCATTATAAAGATACAGTGAATACATCAAATAAACAGAAACATCTCTGTCTAATCCTATAGGCCGGGATTTGTTTAGTTAATGCTAAGACCCTTTTGACCCATTTCTGTCACCTCTAGCACGTCAGCACCCACTCAAGACTTCCGAACAAAACGCTGGCGCACAACAGCACCCACCGAGTGTACACGATAAAACAGATAATCTACAGGAACTCAGCTCCCACAACACTGACAGGCAGAAGTGTGTTTCAGACAATAAAAAAAACAGGGCATTAATCCTTGAGGGAAATAGAGAACAATGTCTAAGTGGATTACTTGAAGGATTTCATTTGAAAATATATCAAAATCTTGAGGGGAAAACAAAGACTGCTGGAACATTCTGAAAACGAAAATTGTAATGATAAAATTATTGCATTTTACTAGATTATTACATATAATTGTGCTTTAGTTGGGGAACAATGTTCTTAAACAGACAATAGTCTAAACAATATTTCACATATTTTTAATTAAACATCTCCAACGACCCAACAGCAGTCATTTCTTTAACATCTAAAGTAATGTCTATTTATAGCTATTTGTGAGCCACCACATATCAGACTCTGAGCATGAGGCCTTACAGCATGGCATTCCCCCTTCCACACAAAGGTTACACTATTGGAGACTCATCACATGCCTGCTTTAATGTGTTAATGCTAACTAGCTTTGAAGAGAACAGTGCAACAAAATGCATTTAGAGCACATCAGAGTGCAGAAAAACAACCAGCCTAATAAGAGTCAGGAGTAGTGCATTAAAACGAAGCCTCACATTATAAATTTAGCTTCCATTAAAAGCACAGAGCAAACAACTTCAACTTTCTTTCTGGCTAAACTCCAACATTACTGTAGTACGTAACAATTTTACCAGTAAAAACTGATCAGTGAAGAGTGCAGTTTTGGCTTAGTGAGAGGCCTGTAATGCAGCAAGAATGATTAGGATAAAGTACTGACCTTATATACAAAATAACTGCTCCTCGTCTTTATTTCTGGTATCTCCGAAATGAACGGCCTTTTAGTTTGTAGTCCGTGTTCAATGTTTGCCCCCTTTGTTGTCAGTTATCCACAGAGTGGACAGATGGCTCCCTGTGCCCTCAGACCGGCTGGAGCAGAGGCTGGCTTTGCTATTAGTCCCTCAGCTTAGCCCAAGATAAGCCCCTACGCAGGGCAAGTGAACCCGCATCTCTTGCCTAATTCTCCCTGTCACAGCCACCAAAGAGGCGTTCCTCCGCATGGAGATCCACAAGCAGAAGAGGCCTGAGGGCAGGGCAGCGAGGCTCTTCGCCTGGACACTGTCCAGCCCGGATAGAGCAAGCTACAGTTGCAGCACCACAACAGAAATACCCGGGAAGGTCTAGCCTTTTGCAGTCATCTAAAACTCAGAGACAGCTCTGTTAACTGATGTTGCTTTGTGACTAACAACTCTGCATGACTGCTGTGTTCTTCATTAGATTTCAGAAAGCTTCCTGCCTGCACAGGGCTGGATTTTCTCTAAAAATAAATCTCCCTGTATGAAATCGGTGCTTTGTACAAGCAACCCGACTAATTGAGGGCTGGGAAGGACAATGTGGCGTTTGAGGTATTTAGTGATGTTAAGCACAATGTCTTCGTGGGGTGCTTCTCCCCCCCTCTCGGCCTCTGCCCTCCCCCACACCAAGCCCTTCTGCCCTTGTAATGAGGCCATACTGGATACAATACAGCCCTTCTGCACAGAAAAATGTATTCAGCTCAGCTCCAAAATTGTGAGGGAAATGAATCAGTGGAGCATAAGTGGCATATTTAATTACTATTCAGCGCGTTGCACGGAGACAATGACGGCTGCTGTGAGCCTCATGGCCGTCTATCAGACATCTATGCGGGACATATTGCACTCACTTCTCAACTAGGATTTCAATACAACTTCCAAATGTTATGATTAAGCAAATGTCCTCATAAGAACAGAAAGATGAAGATAATCATTTAAAGTGTCAATATTTTGACATTCCCTTTTTTAGAGACTTTTTCAGGATTAAGATTTAGTTAGAGGTTAAGGAATGAACGTTGATAAAAGTTCAGGCAAGTATAACAAAATGTGTACAACAGCGTGTCTTCTTGTGTCCGAGCTGCAAACAGATTTATAACCACAACAATGCTATCAAAGTCAAGGGCATAGCATGTGACCAAGTATGTGACAGTTATTTCTATCCTTTCAGAGACCATGAGATGATCTGGCATTTCATGCCAATCACTTGTGACTAATTTCCTCTCCTTCATGTACCTTGTGTGTGAGTGAGATTAAAGTGTTGGGGATTATATGTAATTGGATTACTGCGAAGTGATTACTGCGACTTGTTGGCGTAATCAGTTACAGTTACTGAAAGCAGAGTAGATTTCAAATGTCTTCAGGAAAAACCTGAAAACATGTGGGCACTGCTACTACACGGTAGCTGTGATGAGATTCCCAGGATAAATAAACTAACGTACACAAAGTTCTTTCACCATGTGGTTTGCTAACAGTTTTCCGGTCTGCTAGCCTATCACAGAGTAATCATTACACAGGCTTAATGCTAACTAATCAATATTTTTAATAACATTTTGAGTGCCAGTCACTTCTGATTAATGTCTTGCTTCATGCACCTTCTTTGTCAGTGGGGGCAGGAAGGCAGATTATATGTAACAGGGCTGACGTGATTACTTAAACTTGATGGTGTAATCAGTTACAGTTACTTCGAATGTCTTAGAAAAGAATCTCAAATGCCTATAAAGAAGAAATACAAAGTCATTTTATTTAGCTCTTTAAATATTATTGTTTAGCAAAAGCAACATTTTTTCAGTTCCAGGATCATGACCCAACCCACTCAAAACTCTGATATGTCTCATGAATAAAAATAAACATCTATAGTTTATGTATCGGTGCATGTCTCTTATCAATAGTCAAAGCATGTGTATAGGCATACCACATATATTTAAAAATATAGTAAAGTGACTGTTTTATTTATATCCAGTACATTTTCACAACAACTAGGGCCTTTACACCATAAGGAGAAAACACACCACAGCATGGAATATGGCAAATATAACATTTATTTATTTATTTGAATAAACAAACTACAGTAATTATTTAAAATAGTTGTTATAATGAAACATTTGTCATGTCTTACCTTTGATTTTAAATCCTGTAGAAAACATACATATTAAAATACACTAGATAGGATTTTAGATTTAAATATTATGCAAAAACAAACTCCACATGTTTCATTATCCCGATTCATATTGTATAAAACCTTGTAAAAAATAGCCTTATTTTTGTCTCTTCAGTGTAACACTTTAGATTACAGCCTGCAGCGTCCAGTTTATTACTCCAGAGTTACTTTGGTACTACTACTAACTTATTCTGTAGTTATTGTTTAACTGCTGGGTGCTGATATACAGTATGTTTGTATGACCTACAGCTTCAGTAAGTAGTGATTTTTCCAACTTAACTCCTCAAATAGTTATATTTCAAGAAATGTTCAAATGAGCCAATAGCTCAGCAAATGTCAAAGATTTGAGAAAAATCCAAAAACAGAAAAAAAGAAGAAGGCCCTCAGCAGAGGGATATAATTGCCCCTGCTGGCCATGATAGGGCATTTTTGAAAAAAGTGACCTTTGACCTCTAGCGGAGCTATCTTCTCACTGCTTGACTCCAAAATCTAATCATTCCAAGGAGAGACTATTCCTAGCTCACCTGTACAATACCAACTTGTTAGACCTTAGCACTCGAGCTAGAGACACACAGACACACTGATGGGGCCTATTACCCCCTGGTCAGGGCCATCTATGAAAACTGATTTTTGTTTGTTCTTCTGTCCTCTCCCATTAATCATCTGAAGAGCCCTCAGATTTATCTGCTGTCCATGTATATAAAACTGTACATAGACGAGTTCAAACTAGCTCCAACAGCAGCAGCTACAACAGTAACATGCTGCTGACATGTTGATTTATCACTATTATGAACTAAATGTTGCCATGTATAATATTATATCATAGGGACCTCAACTTTTACTTTGATACTTAAACTACATTTTGCTACTAATACTTCAGCAGGATTTTTAATGCTGGATTTCTTTTTTTACCTGGAATTGAATATTTTTAGATTGCTGTACTGGCATTTTTTATTTTTTTTTACCTAAGTAAAGATCTGAAATACTTCTTCTACCACTCATAAAATCCCACTAGATTTATTAAGTGATGCAGAAGTCATACCTCCACCTTCCCTGAAATGTCCAGTTTTATCAGTGCTATGGTCACATTGTGCAAAGACACCCAGTAGTCAATAATAATTGTATATTTATATTTGTATGTATAATTGTATATTTATTTTATAATAGAATAGAATAGAATAGAATAGAATAGAATAGAATAAAACTTTATTGATCCCTTCAGTGTACACCTCATTGTATATTGTTTTTATTATTATGTCTATTATGTTTGTATTTTCAATGCACCTTAATATGGCAGCTATCTTAAATTTCGTCATGCATCATGTTCTATTCTATTCTATTCTATTCTATTCTATTCTATTCTATAACTACAGTATAAGTTCTCTAAGGTAGATTACTACTCAGTGGGTCACACATAACCTGAAATAATACAATCGGTACCTGTTGTTACAATGTTATTTGTAAGAGCTTAAATAGTTTCTCTCTTATTCCATAACTTCCCCCATTGTCCTACCTACATATATGTATTTGTATACACTGCTATTAACCAGTACCTCCAGAGTTATTATGAGGAACATTTTGTATACTTTTATGTTTAATATATATTATCACATAGTATATTCAACAAACTCATTCTGAATGTGAGTAAAACTTAGTCCTATGGGTAGCTACATTTGTGTGGAACACAAATTTACAAACCTACTGAGATTTTTAAAATGAATTTCTTGCTCTAGTTCTTAGGAGTTTAATAACCACGTTAGCCTACCAAAGCTATGTCAACTGCAATATAAATGTTTTTTTGTTGTTTTTTTTTAGATGGTTAGATTTTTGTCAAGAATTGATGGGTCGAGGACAAACGTTATAACTTTACTATACTTTATTATCAGTCATTTTTTTAGATTCCTGACAGTAAAAAATGGTCAAATCACAAATCAACAGCAATGCATTGAAGCTAGCTAGCTACTGCTAAAGCACGCTAATATAGCATAACGCTATTAGCTAAATTTAAAATTTGCCTCTTTGGACTTGAAGTGATCATTTTTAATGCTGGTTAGCTATTAAATTACTATATTAGATGATGGAGTGCATAATTTATTAGAAATCTGCTCTAAAGTAGTGAAAATTTAAAAATCTAGCCATACATTTTCATAAACAACAGAAAAGTAAGATATTTTTTGTATAAACTAATAAAAAAAAAACTTCACCTTCATATTAACAGTTTTAAAAGTTTGTGTGTGTATATTTTAATGAAAAAAAACACAAAGGGTTATTTTTTTAATGTCAAAATATTACACCAGCTTATGTCAAAACCACTTCCTCTGATGTGTTCAGGAGAGGAAGTGTGAGGCTTCTGACCACAAGGGGGGGCTAACTAACGTACTGTGACATTTAAATGTTACATTAAGTGGGTCGAGGCCGGAACTAGCTTGTCACAAACGAGTTATTACAACAGAGCTTCTTGTCACTTCGGTGTCCAGCAGAAGGAAAGTTTCGTTTCGGTTGAGTCATGACACCAACTGCCCTCCTGTCGGCATGCTACCGTGACCGTCCTCCCTCCCCCCCGGAGCAGAACTACAAAGCTCGGCTTGCTGATGACTGGACTTTAGACCCCGATAGTGTTGATCAGTACAAGAAGGAGCGTGTTGAAATGCCCGAAACAACAGCAGCAGCAGCAGCAGTCCTGCGGTGCTCTCTGTAGCTGCCTTCAGCTGAAAGCGATCGATGGATTTCCACCAACTTTGCACTTTTGAAACTTTCCAGCAGCTCTGGAGTCAGTACGGTTATGGAGGAAACTTCCCAGACGTGATCGAGCGGGAGTTCAGTCGGATTAAAGGTAATGATTGTGTTGGGTGTTTGAGCAGAAGTGACAGTGACAGTCGCTGTCTGGCTGCTGACATGGCTGCTGCTGTGCTGCTGTAAACAGGAACCACGTACCTGGACCATGCAGCGGCCACCCTGTACCCAGAGTCTCTGGTCCGGGACTACTGCAGGGACAT